CAACGTTGCATCATATTTGCCATTGTTCGCCGAGTGCCAGACTGGCTCGTAAAAACGTTAGCTTCTGCCATCCATGATATCCGAAAAACGGCAAGATTGACTGCCGTTTTGCACGTTTGTGAAGTCCCCGTGTACAAAAACTTAGTAGGTCGCGATTGTAATTAACGGATGCTTTACTGTGTCATTAATCCAACATTGTAAAAAGCATATAATTTTGCAATGTCATTTCTCTATAAATTGAGCTTGAATAATGCGTACTGTTCACTCTTTCCCAGTGCACAGTTTGCCATCGGTAAGTGCAGAGCTTCCAGGAAACAGAAGACGAAATATATGTTTCTGCGAAATATATGTTTCTCCCTTTTCTGCTAACCTAAAATATAACTTAACCCTGCGTCTTGAGGTCGTGAGCTGCAGCAAGGACACGGGACAGGTTACTTGCTAACACATTCAACGATCAATATTGGCCCATTGCCACAGTTTGTTGGCTATATGCCCCCCTCTCTCCGGCAGTGGTGAGTCATTCCATACCGCAGCGCCCCACGACTGGTCATCGCTCGAACACTTGTGCTCTCTTCTAGCCAGCAGAACTGTATACGTGCAGGCCGCGATAGAGTTTCACTACCAACACCTGACCCAAGGACTTTGCTCGTGCGCTCTTCGAGCATTTAAAATCAAATTGAAGGTGTAGTCGGGTACAAAAATAAGAATTTTAAAATGTAGCAAAATATCGTGAATTGATTACAAAAAATACTGTAGAAAAAAATACTATAATAAACTACATAGCATAAAAACTCGGCTATATGAACAAGACAACGCAGTGGAATCCTTGGAATAGATGAAAAAGTACAATTAAATAACACAGCCACAATAACTTAACCTACGAAGGACTTGAAGAACCATAAACCTGGCACCATCTTCTTGCGAGGGGACAGACCTACGCCCAGCAGGTCACATGCAAGACAGGATAAGGCGCCGCTGTTCTACTCGATGCCAGGACGCAATTAACGCGTCACAGCGACTATAGCACGCCTCTCTGCAAAATATTAACCGTTTCCTGACCGGGAACTGTGCCAAAGGATCACTTCCGGCGACTGTGATAAGCTGAAAGCAGGCAGCGCAAGCGCCGATGCTAGTCCAAGCATGTTTCTTACTAAACAAGTAACTCGTGATTACTGTTCCCTCTGCGGGCATGTCTATTAGTTCGTCTGAATTCCTCCCTATGGCATTTTAATCACTATTCATAGTTCATGCATTATGGCGGCTATTTTAATAAGTTTTAAAGTCCATACGGCGGTTGTGAAATCGCATTACAGCATGAATAAGGTATCTATATATACGGGAAGGCATTTCACCTCGAATGTGAGTGAATCTAAACATATTACGCGGTTACCCAGTGTGTTGGTTGTGTGGAAAATATAAGATATACAGCACCATCTTTACTCGCCGAATTCGTGCTGATCCTCTCAGTTGAGCGATATACAGGGGTGTATACAACTGGCATTCACTGGTACACACAGTCTTCGCAGGGTACGAGAGTTCGCGTGTAAAATTAATTACCATTTGGTAATACTCATAAACATAATCGAAAATTTTAAAAGCTGAAATTTCGAACATTTCGTTATACAGTACCGGAGCAAGTTTCATTGAAATAGACCATTACATATAGACCATTCCTCTTTTCAGACGTACGCCCGCACAAGAAACGAGTAGCTTCTCTCAACGAGAGTAATTGCCGGAGAATTGCGATGAGCGAGGGGCGAGCGGTCATCATTAAGGCTCATTCAAGAGCTACTGAGGTTAAACGCGAGGTAGCGTATAGCATCGTGAAACATACACAGAAATGTATGAGAAGCGTTATTAATAAATGAACATTACAGAACAAGTTTACAACACGAACGTCTCTGCTATTTTGTACAAAACATTGCAGATAATATTTTAGTAATGATATATGATAAACTCATCAGGGCACGGAGTCTAAAGCGGGAGCCTTGGCTGTACAGACATCGCTGCAAAATGAGCCTGCTCTGTGGAAAAGACGAATTTTTAAAAATAATGAACCCGCTGCATTTGTTAGAAGAGTCGTCGGGCAGACTGAAGTCATACAGTATAACTACGATTTTTTCATTATCATTAAATTAGTAATATCATTGAATGCACGATTTGTTTGATAGAGGAGTTGTATAATTTCCAGCAACATGTTTATGCTGGATAATTTTGTTTCAGAAATATTCGCAAAAACGTTATAAAAAGAGGCGGATTGCCGTAGCTTATAAGCCGAAAAAGTGGACCCTCAACGAATACATAAATTGAACAGAAGCTTGACGCTGCTATACAGCCAATTGATGGACAAAAGGGTAGCACAATACGGTGGTCAGCGGCTATCCCCAGTCCTGTTGGCGCTTCAATGCCAGCAGTAAATTACGACGTGAACAAATCAACAATGACAGAATTGGTTCAAACCATAGCTGGAAACGGTTCTTTTCCACTGAAAGGTTCGTATTAACTCACCAAACGAATTGCACAAACATGGATATATTGCATAGTTACCGCTAAAACTGACTCGTGGTGAGCATCCACGTCTAGTTATATATAATTTAATATGATACTTCGCTACAATACAGTGTGCGTAGTAACGTATTATTGGCTGATTCGCCATCTGAAGCAGTGGTGGTTATAGCAGCTTTTTCTTAAGATGTCAATGAACCATTGAAGACAGCGACAGGTAAGCGGAAAAGCAGGTTACGTTTCATCGGTATAGATTTAAATTTATAGTGATTATAGATTTAAATTTAGAGTGATTATACTGAAATTTTTTCGAAAGATGAACATGAACATGATACTGAATGCATGCATTCATGCAAACCAATCATAGACGATAAATTGGCCGCTCCCAATATTTAGGACATAACTTGTAATTGGACGCTACGTGTACTTAGGCCGCTACGTGTACTATACAAGGACGCCACGTGTACTTAGGCCGCTACATGTACCTAAGGTAGTTTTGACAATACGGCCGTAGTCAATATCAAGACGAGAAGTGCTCTTAGGTGTGCCCTCGTTTATCAGCTGACCTGGGAAGAATACTCCTCTGTCCACGCACTAACATTACCTGAACTGCACTTCTTTATAACGTTCCAAATTTTGAAGCTTAGCTTACCTTCTCGCAATCTGATTCCCTTAAGGTAAAATGATGTCGTGAAGATCGATCAGCTTTTAACTAGAAGAGAACACGACATACTCGAGTTCAGCTCTTACACGCGTCACTACAGCTGAGACACTGCAGCACCACACCTCACTGCTGCCGAAACGACACTAACTGCTGCCTGTCAGAGCCGCGCGTGTCAGCTTCAGAGTGCCATGCAGCTTGAGAATCAACCTACGTCGTATTTTTGTAGAATATTCGCATTTGCTTTTTAAAAATCTTCTAATAATACTATAATAAAAATTCATGCTGCTAACTTTTTTATTCCATAACCATTACAATAGAACAAATATATTGGAACTATTGAGAGAATGGAAGGCGCGTTCAAGCGAACGATCTAATAATAATAAAAAAAACTAGTCTGAACGCAGCAGGGATGGCACTTGCGCAATGGCGTGGCGTCGCTGGAACGAAATTAAACTCTACGGCACATTTCTCCCCACTTGAAGGGCTTCTCAAAATGTTCAAAGGTACAGCCTACAATTTAGAGAAGTTTTAAATATTCTTAGTTAACAAAATATACTTATCTAACATAATCATTGAGAAAATTAACATTAAGGCCGGAAAAATATTCGGTTATCCTTGACTGAACGTAACATGTCGAGAAAGTTTCGAATAAAACGATACCATTTCAAAAATCCGGGGTCAAATTTAGCGTTCAATTCCGTACTATCGGAATAAATAACCAGAATAAATAGTCCCCGTTTAACAATGGAGTAAATATAATGAAATTTAAACTTCGCCTGATCCCATTCTTCAGTCATATGGCGTCATTGTCAGATAGAGGAAGCAATTAAATTGATTTAATTTCTTGTACAATTCTTATCATGAAGATAAACGACGTATTACCCAGAATGATTTACAACTCCTGTACTAACATAGGTTTTGTCTCAATAATCACCAAATTGATCATCTCGTCAATTTTGGTGTTTCCTCGTCTGTTACATTCATTAACATCTATATTATATTTCAAATTTGAACAAAAATGGGAAAAATCATGATTTCATTCATCAAATAAGATATCTAAGTTTTTTAGTACGCTGACATGATTCGATTTCTTCCACTGTTCTTAAATTGCTAAATGAACGTTAGTTATATTCTTTACTAAGAATATATATAGCTATAATAGATTCATATATATGAATCTTTCATACAATTTAAGAAAGATTCGATACATTCCACGACTTTAGTTCAACTCGTGAAGATTAAAACCGAAAGACAGTCTCTTTTATTAAATAGTCATGCTTTGTACAAAAAAACACGTCTTTTCTTTTTGAACTCGCAGTTTTTTGCAACGTCAATTCCGACAGCCGCCGTAGCGACGTGTACGTTAGAAGAGTTTTCACAATGAGTATAATTAACTGCATAACTTCTTTTATCAATTGTATTTTGCTCAATTTATTACATTTCACGGATTAAATATTCTTCACCCCATTCGTCAATAAAAAAATATTCAATTTACTTCCATAAATCCTTTCCTTTTTATCGATAATTCGATATGCTCTGGACGGTGCTAGCTTGGCTCAGCCATTTGTTTTTGCTAAGCAATTGTTATGATATAACTAATCAAAATGCCCTAGTCACTTTGCAAAATAGTATGCAGGTTTATGGCTTGTTCTACGAGCTCATCGAACAAAACTGGCCCTCTTTTTACGAAACAAAGTTTCCAATACATAGGTACTCGCGATAATGAACATTCCGGTAGTAAGAAACTTATTATATCATAGTAATATAACTAGAAGCAAGCGAATTTTGTCAATGAAACAAGTTTATCAGTCACTATGAAAGATTAACTTACATTCTCGGAACACCATTGTTGCGCCAAGTCCGGTCAATGTGTCTCAAATATATACAGCGATTCGACCTCCAGCAAAAGTCTGAAAAAAATTCACACTTTCCCTTGTCCATGAAAGCTTTCAAGTAACACGGGTAAAGAAATGCATCCATCTAATGTCCTACAAATGCAAGACGTAAGAAAATGTTAAAAAAACACCACATATAATGTTTAAAAGTTGTGACCTTGAATACACCTGCACTGCTGCAGTCCTGCACAGCACGTTCTTACTAGTACACCAGAAAAAATATAATACCGATCAAACAATTAACTTGAAAGCTGCTAAAGATTTGAAACTATTTTTTCTTCAGTAAAATTTTGAAGAAGATTTTGTATATGAGGTAGAGAAGAGTGAAAGTTTAAGCGAAAGTTTCAACGAAATAATGGTGATAAGTGAGCAGTTTTGTTTGGCCAATCGCAAAAAAATGACATCTGCCTCACGAACAGGCGATGTTACCGCACGTAAATTTTAGCGAATTACATTCTTTAAGATTTTAATATTTACTCCCAAAAAAATCCGTAAATTTGCGAAAATCTAAAAAATTTCTATGATATTATATATTTTTAAAGTTGAAATACAATAATATAGATACAGTTGGATAATATCGGAAGACGCACCACACCACACACCACCTCTCAAGGCGCTCAGCCGAAAACTGGATACAAGAAATCAAGATTCAAAGCCGCGAGGTTTCCCGCCACAAAGCACATGCGTGGCGCAGTAGATTTGCCTCAGGCGGTGGTGGTGCTCAGCCATGGTGCTCAGCCTAGTAGGTGATGGTCTGGTAATACCCCACAATCAGAAAATTTATAGACCATATTGTCTAAATAGTGACACACCTACACAAGCACAGATACGCCTTTTTGCCGGTCTATACTAGAATGAAAGATACACGGGTAAAAAAGATAAAGTTTTCTGTAACAAGTCCCACTCATTTCTCTGGTTGCATTTTTCGAATTAATACAGGGATAACCGGGGCTGCGTTAAATGTTGCGCGCCTTCGCTGTTATGGCCCATGTTGGCATCAATGATAAGCACCTGCTAAACTTGTCCTGCCTGAAACCCATTTAAAAAAATGGTAATCAAATTTCCTTGAAAAGTGTGGTTAACTGCACTTCTACTTTTTTTTTAACAAATTCGGTACCATTAGTGCGTCCGTTTAGCGAATAAATAACTAGATGTGAGAAGACCGACCACTATTTGTTTTGCTACAGGCTGCCATTAAAAAATGCTTAAGATCTGACAAAAGAAGCACCCCCGTAATGAATTAGGTTCTCGTAGAGTGAATTCTAACATTTCTGTAGATATTGCTGTTCATCTTCTAGTGATAGTAAATAATAGTTAATAAAAAAAGTGAAAAATATTAAAATTGAAATATTTTGCTGAAAAAATAGACAGTTAAAAGTTTCAAAATCTTTTACGTTAATAACGTCGGTAACGGGAGCGCAGCCGTGCACCACTAATTTTGTGCACCAATAAGCCCTGAATCGAACGCCTTGGCTCTCTCCAGACCTACACCAATCAGCCGTGCACCACTCGGCTTTGTCCTCTTCCGGCCTTGACCACCTTATGCCGTGCACCACCAGGCCGCGGATCGAATATGACTTCCAGGCATCGATAAATTACGTAATTTTACGTTCACCGCATCTGAGGTTAGGTTTCAGATAGCATAGTTCTGTTCCAAAATTTATCGTCCTTCGACAAGTGGCCGTTCGACCGAGGGCTGGTTCGACCCACGGCCTAGATACTGACGGCTTGAAGTGTTGAAGGCTACGTTCCGGAAGGCTGGAATCATGATGGTCCATTACATCCAGGGCAGTGGTGGTCTTCGGCAGGCGACCCGGTGGGTGGGTTGAAATCTGTCATTGCCAGCATTGAGGGACTAGAACTAGACGAAAGAAACGTACCTCCAGTTTCTCTGCTAACAATGAATAGAAACAATTATATTATTAAGCCCACGTGCCTTATTGTTGACTCATGACATCAGAAATCACTTGAGATAAACACTGTGTTGAGACATTCCCTACAAATCGGATTTATTCATCTCTTTCTTCCTAAGGTTTTAAATGAGCGCACTGAAGGTGAACCTTAAGCCGGAGTGCTGTCAGTCGATGCCAAGGCCTCACAGACAGCCGGTATTCTTTACTTGGCTTACAGAAATGTAGCGCGATTCGCAGCGCCTTGTTTGAAATATTTTCAGTCGGTTGCCATCGCTGAAAAATTATGCGCATCTACCGTCTCAGTCGTTTGTTAATGTATGTTCAATTGAGCAGTGTGTAGCAAATGTTAGGTTCGCATGTAATAACGTGAGCTATGTAGAGAACGTGGCGATGATGAACGGATACGAAAGTTAGTTAATGACAATTTCCCTATGATTAACCTTTTATAACCTGGGCTAAAATTATAACTAGACCATTCTTCTATGGGTTTTAGGGTCCCTAATTCCAGTACCTGTAAGCTGGATATAATCGTTATCCCATTCGGAAGAAATCATAAATAAAGCTTGATTTCGTCTACCGGCGTGTCATCAATCATAGCAATATTTAATTATTTTGCCCAATCGCCTGAGAAGTTATTCAGACACTGGTATGAAGTTTTCTAAGTATATTGGTTTCTCAAATCGATAAGGTTCATTTCAAACGATATCATCTAGATAAGAGTTTTTGTTTCCAATTCGTGATAAAATTTATTATTCACTTCGGTAAAATTCAGCACTCGCTGAAACTGATGAGTTTTACTAGACAGATTTGGAATTTAAGTTAGCGCGTACTCTAGGCAGATCACCTGCCGCTATGAAATTGCCAAACGCTAATGTTTACGCTGAGAATCACACAAAATTAGCCGAAAGTCCCAGTGATACTGAAACAATACATGACAACTCAACTTCAAGCGAGTCTGTTATAGAATGGATAAACTTTTCACTTTTACAGGGCAATGGGAAAGGATAAAATAAAATTCACTTAAATTCACGGATGCATTTTTTGACAAGAGTTGAATGCTAGTTTGACGGTAAGAACGCCATCTCTTCTTCGTGAACAACATCATCTTTTAAATCATGAAGTCGGAAAAGGTTTTCTTCACTGTTCGCTCGCTACTTGACACTACGACTAACGTGCAAGATCCGTTCCAAGTCAACAGAATAATTTCAAGCTTAAAAATAGGAGAAGGAACATGAGTATCGTGAAGTACGATGTCAAAGACACGAGTAAAACTCTGCAAGATCTTAAGATCTTTTACAGTTCTTATACCTGTTAATTATACGGTTAAGATTTATTCAACTTCTGATTCGTACAATTTTGTTCAAAAGTACGACCAATGACGCAAAGAATAGAAATGCGAAGCGCTGTAACAGGTAACTATTTCACAAGAGAAAACAACAAATATGACTTATCGAGTCCAAATGAATATGAAATTGAGCAAACGTACAAAACGCCAAATTAAAAGAAATCGAGACAAAATTAGAATTATGTTCCAGTCTAAGTACAAAAGCAAAGAAAATCAAGTGCAATTTGCACGTCATCCTACACTAAGAACATTGAATGTAAGAATTTATCTTTATACCTGAAACGTACAGGTAAAATCCAGTAAAACAAGACCTAAAATGAGCGAACTAGCATGAGATCTTTGTGATTACCACAATACGGAGGAAAATACTAAAATTTATTTAAACCATTACTATCGTTTAAAACGATACGACTTTAAAAAAAATTAAAACAAATCAAAACGTTCTTTGAACAGAATAAAGAAAATGGCCACAAAGCGTGAAGTCACAGAACAGTGTTTAAAAATAACCGATACAATTTTGTACCTAAGAGAATCAATAAGATGGCACGTATTTAACTAAGAAGCCTCCTGTCTTTAACAAATACCTAAATTCAAACTTCTACGTTTTCAAATCAATGCCTCTCAAATCCATTAGAAAGGAGACATCTAGAGTGGTTGCATCACAACGGATGATAGCAAATAAATGCCCAGCATGGGTAACCGTTTACTTATCAGGCAAATTCCAGAATTCACTGCACTTATTAGGTTATTAGTACGAAACGCGGCCTCAGAGGCGTGAATCTTGAATCGTGAATCTTAAATAAATCGCGCCACTGAGAATCTGCCTTAAATCGTGAATCACAGAACTTAAATAAACATGTGGTCTCCTATGGAAAACAATCACAAAATTACAAAAAAATGCGAATTTATGGCTAAACATCTACAATGACTAAAGAGTTGGACTGAAATAATCGCAAAAGTTACAAGTCAGAATTACACATCATTCTTCTGGTGAGGAGCTGCTGACCGCTGCTCAAGAAGTGGTGGCAGGTGTTGGGCCGTCCACACAGCAGGTGCGCACTGCAGAGGACCGAGGCTGTCATTGCTGCTCGGCCATCCCCCCACTGGATCGAAACCCAGGCCCTGTGATATTGCCGTGGTATTTGGTGTAGGCCACGGTGATGACAAGGAGCTTGTAGAAGCATTCCATGTATTGTTCGACCAAATGGAGCTCATGTTGCTCCATGGACCAGCTCCGTTGGCTGACAACGTCATTTGACTGCTATTGTAAAGAGAAGCTTCGGGACGATAGGCTTCGTTCGACCAGACGTTGGCTTTGTTTGTTCCTGGGTGCAAACCCTGACTAGGAGGCCAACTGTCTAAACCAGAGTTGAAATTTTGCGGTAAGTTATTGTTTATTACGTTTGGAGATATCACTTTTGGGTCCCATGAGTGTACTGATAACGACGAGGAACTGTACAGCTGCTGCAGTGGCGAGTGCTGAGGTATCTCCTGTGGAGCCAATAAAGACAGAGAACAGTGCTGATTGAAAGGAATAATTGGTGCACCCAATTTTTGGCCAATGGCACCCAAATTCCGTTGAGGAGCAACACGATTAATTTCTGGCAGAATTTTGCCCACGGGAGTCACCTTAGCTCTTTGCTTGTCTTGCGGAGCAACTTTTGTTGAATAAGAATCTTTGGCTGTTAACGGAGGGAGTTGGGCAACTGGAGGCCGAGTGGTGACTGCCGGAGTATCGTTGGTCGATTGATTTTTTTCGGGTTTTGTTGTAGTTACAGATGGAAAAGAGCTGCTTACAACGGTAGCGTCACTTTTGACTCGGATGGTCTTCCGCTTAGGGCGCCGCAGCAGAGCATCCGTCGACAACGAAGGAGGCTTCAGTGTCTTTGGACTATATGGCAGTTCCAGAGAATGATCATTAGCGATGTCACTGAGAGGAATACAAACACCCTTTCCTTTTTTCAGACTTTTACCCCGGATTTGTATGGCAAAATCTCCCCCAGAATCTTTTTGGTCGAATGAAGGAGAATCAGATCGGATTAGCGACTCGTTTGAATTCTGTGTTGTGGAATTTTTCTCATCCCGAGGTGACGGAGATACCGAACTGCTGCTGCTGCTGCCATTGCTACAGATGTTCGAACTTTTATTCACATTGCATCGAACACCGTTTGACTTCGCATGGTTGGAAGAGTTCGGAGGGCCATTTTTGCAGGAATTATTATTTTTCTTATTTCGTTTCATATTTAGAAGACTGGATTGATTACTTGAACTCTCCGATTTGCTAGAGGCGTCCTGCCAATGAATAACACCGATTAGTTAAATGCGAACAAAACTGTCGATTCCTTAAGATCGATTTTAAACTGTTGCCAAAATTGCCTGTATCATGCATACATAAGTGTACTCCACGAACGAAATAATGGCTACACTAGAATGCATTAATAATACGTTAAGTCATTAACAAATAACCAAACGAGCAACTGCAGTGAATATAAACCAAGAGAAAAGTTTTTGTTCGTTTGAAAACCTAAAACGAACCATAGAAAACATACGAACGAATTGGATAGTCTATTGAATGTTGAAGAAGTCTCACCTTATCGCTGATCGAAAGATCTCCCGAATGGGAGCTTTCATTAGAACAGGAAGAAGTTTCTTCCTCTTCTTGACGTAGTTTATGACTAGATTTGTAAGAATTAGGTACGAAATCTGACTCAGAAAACATAGACTGGCGTCGAACACGTCCAGTATTTGTCTTGTTTTTGATTTGGTAATCGATAGCAGACAGGTGATGGTGTTTGTCATACCGACTTTTGTGTTTCACATCGTTCAAATTAAGCACCTTGTTTCCAATTGTAGACTTGCATGTTCCTGAATTTTCTTCAGCAGTAGACTTGTTGGTGCCAACTTGGACAGGCTTTGAGCGGTCTCCACTGCTGGCTCGGCGACTAGATAAATTTGAGTGTTGCCTACGAGGCTTCGTGGGCTGAATAGCAGCCTCGGGACGAGCTATGAGAGCAGCGAATGCAGCACTGAGGCGGTCACGATAGTAGCCCAGGGTTCCACTAATGTTCAAGCCAAGTTCCCCGCGCTCTTTATGCCCAGAGTTCAACGGTTTCTTTCGCGATTCTTTTTCTTTAGATTCAAAAGTAGACAAAAAATTCATAAAATTCCAACCATCAGACTTTGTAGACTTACTTTTCCCGCTAACACCGGGAATGCTTTTGATTGATTCGGTAGATGGCTTTTTAGGAATATTATCTTGTAAGTTAGTATTGTATAGGACGTTATTGTTATTATTGTTCGCAGCGTTGTGTAAGGCTTTGTTATTATAGTGATTACGATGATTAAGGGAATCTTGAGACAGAGAGCCATTCGACACAAGAACCGGTATGGTTTTAGAGGAATCTTTGGTAGCGATGGAGCGCAAATCAAAGACATTCTCTCGATCGAGAGGAACTTGAAGGCTTGCAGCGTGACTGGCGCTGCTCTTGAGAAGCGTGTGAGCGTCAAGAGCTGCCATGAGCAGCGTGACGACCAGCATGATGATGAGCATAGTGAAGAAAATATAGAAGATGAGCGTCTCCCAATGAGGTCGGGGCACTGTAAGGCTGCACGGCTGCAGCAGCGAGGAGGGGACCGTGGCTTGCAGGGTGTACTCGAGCGCCTCTAGCCCGCTGTTGGCGTCTGTGATAAGCTGTAAACTTTGCTGCGCTTTGCTCAACGTAAAGTCAGGACTGAAGGCGATGTCGATCTTGCGCGAAGCATTCGGCTCCAGAGTGAACACTTCGCACTGTATCACCTGAGAACAACCAGCACTCGCATGAGATAAGGTCAGGAGAGAAGCTCAACTTAAGATCCCTGAGTCAAGCAAAAATTTTAAAGTATTTTTCAAGAATTGAAAGAAAATTTACCGGCTCATCGCTTGCATTGATGACTCTTAGCCCAATATTTAGTTTCTATGTTCTTTAATAAGTTCATTTTGAATAAATAATAGAATAAAGAAAATTTCCATGATGATCAAAAATGCTCCCAGCTACACTCGAGCTTCAGAAAAATTGAGTGCAGTGTAAATGTCTCATATTCAATGTACACAAAATTGAGAAATTTTCATACACCTGGATAACAACTGCAAAGACTTGCCTAGAATGATGCGTAGCACCAGAATACATCCAGCAGAGAGAAACCACGATATTTTCAGTTCAAAGTGGCAGCTCTCACCTTGAAGCCATAATTGTAGCAAGGTGCTCCGGCTATAAGGAAGCCTTTGATAGTGCACGCCAAATCGCCAGTGTTACGAGCGGTGAACGTGCGTTTCACGGTGAGCTTCGGGTCTCTGAGCGTTCTCGTACTTCCGCCTGGACGTTTCGTAGCTGAGATAACATAATAATAATAATAATAATATGATTACAGCGATACTGTGAGCTTAACTATCAAGCGCAGAATAGAGAGAGGTTATGAGAGAACAAAATCTTAGCTGTTGAATGCACAGGATGCTAACATCTTAGCTTAAAGACAATATGCAACACATTTCAATAGTAGTACAAAAAATATTGTATATATATAGTACTGGACAGACTCAAAGAGTACATATGAATAATGTTATGAGAAACAACAAATGAACATGATAAAAGCGTTACCCTGGCAGTCCTGTAGGTGCTTGGCAGCGAGGCTGAAGGTAAGCGGAGTGGCTGAGGCATCAGGTTTCCTGTTAGCAAATCTGACGGTGCCCTGACCGCCGCGGCCCGTCAATTTTACTATGTCCACGACGGTGAGATTATTGCGCACGATCACAGCGCTCTCGTGTTGTCCCACTTCTGATGGTCGGAACGCCACACGCACGGATATCTGAAGCAAATAAAGTCCATACAAGTAATTGAAGAGACATAATACCTGCAGTCTTAAAATTGTTTTTTTGTGGCAAGAGTCTCTTAGAGCCGTGCTATGTAGAACAGGCACTCACAGAAATGAGTGAGATTTTGTGCAAATAACGATGCACTTTTTCCACTCATGTGGGTCATTCTGACCCAGTTTGGCCCTGCAAAATGGCGTGCTACGTCCGCTCTCGGCTCGTACTGTGGGCAAGAAATTGAGTCGATAATCGGACAATATGACACGTGCACTTTTTCTCTGAGGGAGATAACTGGCACAAACTAAGTTTTGATGTCAGCACATATGCCAGAACTGCGTAGGTACCAATGACCGCACAACTCATGTTTGTCTCTTCAAGAATTTATAGATAAATTCCGGAACCATTCTTCTCACGCGCTCACATAATTTTGCTCTGACGTTTTGCTAAAATGTATCTTCAGTTTTCGTCACTTTTTTGAATGACTGACTCGTGAAGTCGATGAACATTAAATAGTATAATTATTAGTATAATAATTTAGAGAAAAGCCTTTAATTTTAAGGGTTCAAAATCATAAAGTGGTGTTCTCATAACAGATTTAGAGTAATACATATCATTAGAATAAATAATATTTTCCGGCATTGAAATTACGAGTTAAACGTCAACGGAAATTTCGACAAGATATTTTGAATAAAACACAAAAAAGTCGTAATGTAAATGTAGGATTTCGTAAATGTAGGATAATTTCGTTTCATTGAACCGAAATGACCAATAAATTCAGTTCATGAGGAAACAAGCAAGAAAATAACCGAAAATCAGTACACCTAACACCACCTTTACCTGCTGGCCAGGGCTAAGGCGCAGCACGATCGTCTCCCTGGCGCCCCGGGTGGACAGCTCAGCCTCGACCTTCCTGCGGTGCTGTAGCAGCTCAGCGACGCGACGAGCGTCGGGCTCCAAGCAGCCCCTAGAGCACTCCTCGCCGGGGCTGCTCGGCTCCACGTCCACGAAATGGAACACTTGCCCGCCAATGCCGTCACTTTCTTCACCCCAGTCCGTTCTGCAAGCAAACTCGTTACATGGAAAACATCCTCAAGGAATGATCATAAGGAATAAGAGCTCGTAATAAACATAAAAACATGCTATAGGAATGATCACGATGGAAAAGATTTCGTAATCATCATAAAAACATGTTCAAGGAATGATCATGATGGAAAAGCATCACAAAACAGCTCTTTCAAATTCGTCTCAATGAAAAAGAGCTCATGTACAAAATCACTCGACATAATCATGATGTGATTAAATAAAATAATTTCGATTAAATTAAATATAAGCCCAGACTTTTTAATCACAAAAGACAGGACTGTTTCAGGATCGCCCCTGCGAAAAATACTGGATTCTGAATTAAAAATTTGAATTCATTGCAATAATAGAGCAATGAGAAATATCAAAAATACGGACAAAAATGCAACATAATTCCACGATTCAACTTTTTTTTTTCGAAAATAACCTGAATCAAAAGTGATATGATTACTGTAATACTGAACGTTAACCTAAAAAATACTAAAGTTATTTAAATCTCAAATTTGTCTAGATCATCATCAATCCTTTCAACAGGTATACAAAAAAGTAATTAATTGATTAATTACGAATGCTATACATTGTGGAGAAGTCTTGACTCACTGGTGAGCAAGTGCACGAGCGAGCAGGTGCGGTGCCGGGTAGTGCTGCAACAACAACAGCTGCACGAATAGCACCGAGTCCGTAGGATTGCTCAGCGGCAGCAACGCCACTGAGCTGTTGTGCAGCTGTGTCAGCGGGAACTCCAGTGCCTCTGACTGCGCTACACGTGGCCATACCAACGACACCTGTGGACATGAGGCACAGTAGTAGTGATGGAGTAGTGTAGATGTGTAGTAGTGGTAGACTAGTCGAGTAGTAGTGGTAGAGCGGAGGATTAGTAGTGGTAGAGTGGAGGATTAGTAGTGGTAGATTAGTCTAGTAGTAGTGGTAGAGTGGATGATTAGTAGTGGTGGAGTAGTAGTCGTAAGGGGTAGTAGAAGTAGGTTTTCGAGCGCTTCAGAAGTGCCTCTTTATTTTCTTTGAGTCGGAGGAACAGTCTTCAGTTACGTCAGTTTTGTGACGCGTGAGGCATGATGCACCAGCAGCATATGCTCGAGCATGTGTTACATTGTAATGTATCTCAAAGATCTTGCTAAGCAATGAATTAGGCATTTATTTCGAAACATTTACTTTGAAACATATCAACTTATTCGTTTAGAAAGGTTTGTTAAGGTACGTATTTGCGATTAAGGAAGCAATATTTTCACATCCTCTAGGTGCGGTAAGAGCAAAGAGCCGTTCGCGCACCTGTACTGTGAAGGGGAAGGCGTGTAGGTGCGAGGTGTGCAGCACAAGGGACGAGTTGAAGACCGGCGTGGATATGTTGCGGTAGCGCCCCAGCAGCAGCTCGAGCAGCATCACGTCTGTGGCTGCAACGTGGCCAGACAGAGCGAGCGAGCTGCTCCACTGCTGCCCCACTATAAGAACGTTCAAATTATAGCTTTTCTTTATAATCAATAAACATACACCAATACAGTCTAACCAATACGGTCTAAGACGGGGAAAATTTTTTAGTTTAGTCTGAATGAGTACTTAAAATTATTTCAATTTCAAACTACTTCGAACTCATTCGTTTGATTAATTCCCGATTTTAAACATCAGTGTTTGATTGATTTATAATTTATTTCCACGAGTTATTTCCAAAGGGCTCATTGACGCATTCATAAAGAGAAATTTCTGGCAAAAACCAGCGCGGTGAATTCAGATGTAAAAAGACTCATAACCTCTTCAAAGTCTTACATTTATCAGCGAGAGTGAAGCCAGCGTAGCAGAAGTCGGAGCAGAATTGTCTGGGGTCGAACACAAGTCGCCCGATGGACGTGAGAGTGTTGGGGTGCAGGGTGAAGGGCTCGTCGTGAGGCGCGCCCTGATACTCGAAGTGGTGACCAGAAGGAAGCTGTGGCAGCACGTCATCCACCATCATGCTGTGGCCGAACGTCGACAGAACTTGCAGCTCAACCGAGGATACTTTGCCCTGGCAACATAATAGTAACTCATTAGTGTCGAGCATACAAAGAGTTGACAATTCAATTAAATATTAAATACGAAGATATTTTACCAATGAGTACCTACCTAGTTCCATTGTCTCTCTTTTAAATGATTGTACTAGAAGTATTACAGGTATTTCGTAAATTTATGCATCAAATATACCCTAAGTGCACATTGTGCTGATAACTAAGCATAGAAAAATAAAAAACTATATGCTTTAGATTGAATCTCAATTAAAAAGATTGAAGGCTTGAACGCACTTAACGATCCTGATATTGATTTTCATTTCAAACACTGGTCAATGATAATAAACATTGCCTCGTCAAAAAAATTAATTTCTAGTTCAAATTCCAGGTGTACAAATGAGTTTGCCAGTTTCTTGTAATTTTTTTATCAATTTATAGGAGTGAAGAAAATACTATACACATTCTTGGCAAGATTAGTTGCGGGCTACCGATCGTGTGTAAAAAGAATTATTACGTACATCTTCATATTGAAATCCTCTAGTGAGTTTCTTGTTATTTTTTTTAAACTAATGGGAGAAAAGAAAGCATGATGCACATTCATGACAAGTTCAGCAGCTGGCTGTATGTGTGTAGTGTTCCAGACTCACAGGGAAGGCATTATCAAAGAGCACAGGTGTGGGGATCATGGTGAGCTGGCCGATAGCAGTGCGCAGTCTGAAGGTAAGGGAGAGACTCTCGAAGGCGGTGTGCACCACAGCCGTGCCCCAGAAGATGCCTTCAGTGCTCGCAGTCACTACACTTACTTTAAAGACTGCAGCAGCCCCGGGTGCCAACCATACCTGCGATGCAATATTATGTTGATATCTATGGCTAACGGCTGAGTAATTAATTACTTTCCTGATACCAACTACAGTAAATGCGCTGTGCTTTTTCATTATTTGCAATATTACTTTGCAAACTATCATATCAAATTGAAGCATATAAATATAGCCTATCAATCAATTATAAAAGTTTCTCTTGTCTCAGTAAGGGAAGAAACTTTGATATGCGAGTTGCATTCAATCGCAGAAATGGGCGTAACAAACAACACACGATGATGGAAAAAAACTCATAACCACACATAAGACCAAAATGAAGTGAGTAAGGTGAATGACTCATCTATTAATGACACAGTATTGGGAAAGTTATCTTCTTTATTTTCAGCTTAAGTATAATACACTTAGAATTTATGCACGTAAGATGTACCGGTTCTGATGGCTGCTGGGTTATCATGTTCCAGTTTGAATCGGGATCAACGAACGCAAAGAGATGCACGTCAGCCCACGTTGCGTTGGCTTCCCAGGACATGACTCGCATTGTCACGGGGTTCTCATTGTGTACGTAGAAGTGCAGGTCGCGATGCTCCCCCATACCCACGGTGCCCAGGTCCACTGAGCTTACCAACGAAGAGTTACAAGCGTTTTCTTGAGAGGCTCCAGCTGCGCTCTCGGTCGATCGTTCTGACGATTGAAGCCCCAGCACAATGCCATCCAGAGGAAAGCTTTTGCCCACGTTATCAGAAACAGCTGACGTGAAGCTCTGTCAGAACATGGTTATTTTTAAATGCGATTATTTTATTCACAATAATAGTGATTCATTAGCTCATTTGACTACAACATACAGAAATTATCTATCCGTACACTAATGGAAGGAAGCTATACACATGAGCGGCGATTCAGAGAATAAAATGAAGCACTCAATCAGCGTTCGACGTGCGCACATAAGTGCAGCAATGCATACCTTGGTAAGACGGCCATTGTAAGCGGTTAGAGGAATGTTGACGGTGGTTATGTTTGTGTGAATGGTTACGTGGGAGCTCAGCCGTAGGTTAGAGTCCACACTGAGCAGCTGCACCGAAGCCACCACTCCCTGTGCTCCTTGTTGCAACACCACCTCACCCCACCACACCACCTGCAACAAACAACAACAACTTATGTCGATGCATTGAAAATGTCACTTTATGAAACGTGGTATGACAATATTTCAAGTAACTCATGGGTATGCCGTAATCACGAACTGAAAGAGACTAAAAATAAACAATAAATCAGATCGTTTACTGCAGTTAAGAAGGCATGGGTAATTAGCATACCTTGAAGTGTTTACGGTGGGACTGAGGGAGAGTGACGTTATAGACGACCACTGCGCATGAGAAGGTATTCGTGAGGGATAAGTTGCGAGGTTCCCCTGGCAAGAACGGGCCGTTATTTATGACAGATGGCGAGTCGCTGTGGTCGTCGCCGAGGTTATCATCAAGAAATTCCTCCTGCGGATCCTTTACTGGGACTTTGTTGGGATTGTAGAGCAGCGCTGCCTCGCCGTCCACGGACGAGTAGAGGGACACGCTAGACGAAGTCAAGGCTGACGACCATGATATTGACGAGGACAGAGAAGACGAAGTGATGGACGGAAGAGAAAAGAATGGATACATTGAAGAGTTTGAATCGTTCCTGTTAAAGGCATTTGAATCTGAAATGCTCGATGGATCTGTAAAGGAAAAAAGTTGTTTTTAATTGAAATGAGCAAGAAATTTCGGCCAGTGAGGCAGTGAACAGAATGAAACGAACTAACAAATTTTATTCAAAGGCTCGGAATCTCATGTTAAAAATTTGAACAAATTTAACATGAAAGGAATAGAAATCGAGGTGCTTTGCAATAAAATACGATATACTTTACGAAGTTACAAACTATCTACAGGAATATTAGCTGGTACAGATAATAAGAGAAAATTGTAAAAAAAATCGAGAGCTTAAGAAACATTCGAGTTTAAACTTTGGTAAATATAGAGAAAGAAGCTATGACACATGTGGTAGTAGGTATAAACTGCTACTCTCAGCTGTTACTTGACGTTTACAAAAGAGAGAACTAGAGGAGCATCTGACCGAGGTGGGGAGGCCCTGTGAAGAAGCTGGTGACGGCGGGGCTGTAGCGAAGGTGGCCGTGCAGGAGGTTCACGCTGAAGGGCACGCTCAGCTTATAAGCTGATACTTTGCTCTTGATGAGCAACTTGCCGGCCACCGCGCCGCCCCCTCGGCGAACTTTTGACGCTGCAAACATAACATTGCAATTCACAGAGGGAATGTTCACCGTGCCTGCGATCATGTTCCTTGAAACACAAGAGAAACTATGAGTGAATTTTACTGTTCTTCATGGCAACAAGGGGTGTAGAAAATAAGCCGATGATGACAAGTATGACGTTACGGTAGGCTGGAAGACCAGCGTTCAATCGAAAATAAATTTGATATTGCTTATGATAAGGCAATTCATCTTCCATTCCAGCAGGCAGTTATTTTTGCCGTATGCAAGATTTAACACTGCACACTCGAGAGAAATAAATTAGACTGTCCAAAAAGTGATGCACTTTCTACGGGTCATCCGGACCCACTTTAGCCAGGCAAATGGGCTTTTCAGTGATACGAGTAAAAAGTGTCAATTTTTAGACATAATAATCCCTTCATTTTTCCTAAGAGCAAATACATGGGTGATGAGTTTACTCACGATCAAAAGTGACGGTGGCGACCTGCGTGGGTTTGACGGAGCCCGGAGGGACCTTCATGGGCTTGAAGTCAATGGTGATGGCGTCGTTAACTGGCGTCGTGATCACGTTCTGGCAGCATAAACAACTTTGATCAAGTTTCTATCCGCTTATTATGATAGTTCATCCCACCACCATATAATGTAATCAAATATACGTTCATATCGCAATTAACTGAGTGAAAAACAATTAAGACTTTTATGCTTGTAACTCGGTAAACTAAAGTCTCAGAAGTTCACGATAATTCCAGGGCTGTGAGAGGTGTGCGAGTCTCACCTGGATGTGTATGTGTTTATGAGCAGAGTTGATGAGCATGAGGGGGAGTGAGGCGGGCGGGTGGTGGGGAGTAAGCAAGGGGAAGTGCAGACCGTCGTGGGGGCAGTAGAGGCCAGGCTCGCTGCTCACCTCCACCTCTACAGGCACCACAAGGTAGTCCCCGTCGATGCCTGTCGTCACCATCCTACGACACGTCGTATATATCAGATACATTTTAGCAGAGAAATATCAACAATGACAATTTAACCTACATAGGCAATTTACCCTACACAAATTATTAAGCATTCACATTCCGTTCAACATACAAATATAATTCAACAAACGCCGTTAATTCAACATACACATACATGCTATTCAACATACATAGACCAACATATGCAGGTTTTCTCGTCGTAACACACGCCCTACCAAGATGCACTACCATGAGCAGCACTGCATGACGTGCACCTGATGCAGGCGGTGTGGTTGGTCTACCAAGAGGCACTACCATGACAAGCACCTGATGCAGGCGGTGTGGTTGCTCTACCAAGAGGCACTACCATGACGTGCACCATGAGCAGCACTGCATGACGTGCACCTGATGTAGGCGGTGTGGTTGTTCTCGCGCCTGGCGACGAAGGTGGCACGGGCGAGGGCGCGGGTCTGGTAGGGCGGCACGCTCCAGCTGCTGGCGTCGCCCTCCGTCGCGCCCCCCAGCAGCTCGAGGTGCAGGTCGCCGCCGCTGCTGTACAGCTCCCGCACCTGCACCCAATACATTAGTTATTGCTCAAGCTATACCATTGAATGTAATGATGCACCAATACACTACAGATATTGCTAAGACTGTACTTTTGAATGATATGATCCCGCACCTGCACCAATACACTACAGATATTGCTGACTATCCTAGTGAATTAAATGCTATCGTATTACTGAAATGTAAACGCATCCCGAACCTCCGCCAAATATACAATGGTTATTGCTAAAAGGACCTCCAGTCCGTATTCCAAGATGTAAATCGAGCTCGAAAAACTTACAACATGACATTCAATTTCATAGTAAGAAGAAATTCGAACCCAGTTTGAGGAACAACACTTTTGCGTTGCACTTTTTGAATTTTTAGCTGTTAATCAAAAGTTCAAAAATAATTGAATCCTCGTATATTTAGCAGCCGACAACTTTTTCCACAAGTTATAATGCAATCCACATATGCTCTTTATGCGTTTGATTACACTGCCTTTACTGTAAACCTAATAATTTAATTAACATCCTACGCTGAATTTCCGTCCCCGTATACATGGATCGGCGGAATTCAGTTGTAACATGAGAGAAAATCACGACGGGGATCAGAGGCTCAGAAGTCGGACTATCAAAAATAGTCATGAGTTCGTTACTCCGTCAGCCAATCACTGACGACTCTCAAAGCTAAACTTACCAATAACAGACGGAAAATCGTCCGCTAGGTGTACTTGGGCCGCTAAGTGTACTTAACTGAATATTGAAAGTACGGTCTCTGAGTGCATATTACAGCAGGGGAATGATTACACACCTGCAGGGTATGCGGGTGTGGATTGTGTAGGTGAATGAGCGGCGTGTAGGAGGAGTTCAGAGGCATTCTCACCCCCACCAGCGGCCGCAAGCGATACTGGTTACTTGTTCCCACAGCTCGCACCTGAAAAATTATATCTCATTGGTGATTTGCGTAGGCAAACATCAACCTTAGTGATACACGTTCAGGGAAGAGTTGCCATGTTGCAAGCACCACATTTCTACCTCTTTGTAGTTTTGTAGTTCACATCTTTCTACGATAATACTTAAAGTTATAATCTAATCATAGACACAAAGATCTGAGGTTTACAATAGTCACCGACATGACACTGGTCGGGGTTCTGAGGTGAAACGGAAAAATGCATAAAATACGGTCTTGATGCATACCACGTTGAAGTTATACATAGATAATTTACAAAACGACCAACCGAACGACCCCTTGATGGGTTGGGGTGATGTCTCAATCACCAGACGATAACTAAAAAAAAAGTTAACTAGAATGAAAGCTATAAAAACTTTCGCATCAGATTGGACGAAAGAAACATACTGCAAGAGGTATCGATCATATAACAAATTTATTAGGGGAAAATAAATGGTCACCAGCTTAGAGGAGGAGAATGGCAATTTTTCGAATAGACAGCCAGCAAAAACTGGCGGGAAGGAAGCAGCGTTAGAGTTGCTCTCAGAGAGAACGACACAGGACCAGTGAAGAGCAATGAAAACGAAGTTCCTTCGCCAAGATGTCGCTAACATTACACATAGCTTGTTAGCGCAAGAGACTGAGAAAAGAAATGCTAATATGCCGTTCTTCAACAACTTCACAACAGCAAATGGGACAAAGTGCCAAGTGCAAACGAATGAGAAATTCTATGCGTGTCAATAAGCCAAACGAAGAGGATAAAGTGAAAGCTGGAATCAAGGAATACGATGAATTTGATTGCATACTCACGGAATACTTATAAGTTCCTATCGAAGTGTGGATAAAAATTGTGTTTTCAATAAGGCCTTCCTCGCGCCCCAGGAATACGACGTCGAAAGTTGTGTTGGTATAAGCGGCCACTACCTGCAATGGAGGCAGCTCGTAAGTTCAAACTCGCAATAGCTTCTTCCATGCACATCTAAAATTCATTAATTTGAACACCATTCTTTCCATGATATGAACAGAAAACATACCGTAACAAAAGCTCATAATTTAATTAGGAGTGATTCACTAAAAATTGACCAAATTTGCGAAGGTCAATTTATGCAAGTAATCCAGGAAACTCAGATGAGCCAGACTCGCACTCCTAAGCACAAATTAGTTAGCGAAATGGTTTTCTGTTCCATGTATTGCAAAATTTCATCAGTTTTCTGTTCCATGTATCAAAACGTAGCCATCTAAATTATCGGTATGAAACGAAATGAAATTTTTATCATCACAAGACGCTATGAATAGGGAATCTGAATGCATTAAGATTCCCTATTATTAATTGTTCATGATTAATTGGTCATTACACAGTACACACGTCAAGCGCATAACGACCAAGTCCAAATATGCACAGATTAATAGAATCACTGATTCTATTGATTAATTTAAAATAAATTAATTGATTAATTAATAGAATCATGAAGATAACATTAATACAATGTTGATGCTAGAGTACCTTGTCCTGAAAGAAGGTGCAGTGGAAGTGTAAGGTGTTGCCCGAGAGGCTATGCAGCTGCACGGCACTGGAGGCGTCCGCGCTGTAGCCCGCACTCGCCAGAGGGCCCACGTTGCGCACCACCACCTTCCGCATCACCGGCATGCCCACCGGGCTGTCGTTATAAACACAATTTATATTATTGTTGCCAATATCATATTTTAACCATAATTATACCCGTACGAAAGCATGTGGCACTACACTAAGAGAATAACTAATCTAAAAGACGTTGAAAGTTATTTTGGCAGACACGCTTTACACGTTGCTGAAACAATCGATAACTTGGTATGACCTTACGAATACATACCACAGTACAGCAAAAAGAAAACTGTTCGTAAATGAAATAGTAATTTGCAACATCCTCCCGAGATGGCGGGAGAAACACACTTCAAATCTATTATAAAAGAAATGTCACTTTTACAAATCGTTCCGAAAAATAAAGCCACGGGAATTAATATTCGCGACAGGGTTTAATACACGTGAAAGAAATAACTTGTTTGAATATGAGAGTCTAATTGATGAGGCGGCCATGGACGCAACAGCCAAGAGCCAGTAATGTTCGAGATATTTCGTGACAGCCAAATGCCGCACCTTCAGATTGCACTCAGAGACATTCAAACATGTATACAGTAAATCAAATCACATAATTTACACCTTTAACTGGAGTTCACCGGGTGACAGAAAATTTACATCACTCACTGCTCTTTAAAGTCGAGCTGAGGCGGGTCAAATAAAATATAGTTTTGGTGTGGGAGCGGCGGCTGGTGGGAGTCTGCCCCATCGTCGAGCATGTCCACCTCGGCGCCGGCTTCTGTGCTACCGCCGCCGCTGCTGCCGCTTTTAAACATCTGCAACAAGCGCAAGTGATAAGCAGTCTCGTAATAAATTCTGAAAGGAGATAAAAGAGCTTGTATTATTCAAAATTTGTATAGATATTCTTCATTCAATTCAGCGATCAGCCAGGGGAACGGGAAAATTTTTTGCTTTCGATTAAAAAAACTAGACCTCAAACAATCAGAAAATAAGTTTTTTGAATAAAAGTTAGGACTTCGACCAAGTCAGTCACGTATATCTTCGAAACACTTTCTTACAACTTTACTACCTACTGAGGGAAATTATGGATGGTAACTGATGGATATGTGGGTCATGGCTGGCTTTTCTTCAACAGTCGCAGTTCAAGAATCGCCTTCGAACGAACGATAATTATTGCGGATATATTCCAACCTAAGATTTCCTATACGACAAACTGCAATCATTCGTTACAACCTAAATAAATTATTTGAAACACGAATGCGTTTTTACAGTCAGCTAAAATGATGTCCGAGAGGTAATCATAAATTGTAACAGATATCGCGCCAACCAACTTAGCCACTAAATTCAAGTGAATGTTCTGCACCTTTATTTGGGTGCCCCCTAAATTCCGCACACAGACATCGACAAGGCCCAACAATGCTAACGTGAAGGCTGTCACGGTAAACAGCGACTGTGGCTAAACTGCACTAATGCCGTCTTAGTGAAAAAGCTGTGACTAGCCATGCGTTCAACAAGCGCATGAATTCTTTCATCGCTGACACGTAAAGCGAAGCAGGCAGCTACTAAGTGGCTGGGTGCTACTAACAACGATCTCAGTTTGCAGGAGATATTTTAAGTGAACTTAACATTTCTCAGATTTTTCTTTTTTGCAAACACCAATATAAACATGGCCGCTGCTTCTTTCTAATCTACAATTTGTTCAGGTATAATTTTCTTATTTAATTAGGCACATGGCAGTAGCACGACTCCTTCGGAATCGAATGATTAGCGAGCCTCCTCCGCTCCACCGAACAGTGACGCGCTCTCGTTTCATTTACTGACGCTGTAACTAAAATGAAATATTTTTCTAAACAAGCACAGGTTATAATTCATAAAATACTTTGTCAGGTGCGTAACAGCGGCAATGAGCCATTCACAATCGGCATACCTACATAAATCACTATACGTCGCCTGCAGCAGAACGTAATACACAAGTTGAGGTGGCAGCATATTAAAATTTTGTCTACCTATGCCACGAGTTGTGAAATTTACCTCCAAAGTTGTAATGCGATTGCTCTGATTATATGTTTATAAATAGAACATAATAAGAATTTTGAAACATGATATGGGTATTTTAAAAATTTTAACATGACCGCCAAATACCCGAATAAATTTAGCAAAATACACTAAAACTGGATAATTTTTTTACGTGTTTTCGGGGCATGACTCGTTTCAGGACAACATTAGTGAGACTCAGGAGATGGTGAGCGGGCGCACGACAAGATAAGTGAGACCCAGTAGTCAATGAGCAGGCACACGACAGCGAGTCGTGGTCTCATATTGACAAACAATCGCGCACTCATTAAAGCGCTTCGATGAGATCGGCAAGCTTGGCACAGCGCCAGGACAGACACACTCCCGCACAACTACAGACCTCAAAGCCGCCATCATGCGAGGCAATCAACACTGAATTTTCCTCAATATCTAAACTATTCCTGTAAATTGGATCAATTCTTCACCATGACCGACACTAAACAGCTGAATTTCATTGAAACCTCCACACTTTTCCCGTAATTTGCTACCAAATCTTCAATATGGAGTTCACAAAAAAGGCAGAAAAGCTAACTTATTAAGATACGAGAATCATAAATTTATGAAGGCTTCAAATTAAAGCAAATCAAATTGAAAATTACAATAAAAAATTTGAACTTTTAGTTTAGGAGTATAGAAGAACAAACCCTTACTCAGGTAAAATCTACGAAACTTCAAGTGTCACAGACAAATCTTGCGAAAAACATCGCGCATATACATGCTGAATGTATCACTCTCAGTATTACAGAAGTCGTACCATTACTGCATGAAAAAAATTATTAGACAAGAGAAAAAACAAGTTCGCAAATTCCTAATGTTTTAATGGCGCTAGGGCGCTAGTGAACTTCACGAACAATACCAAGCACAAAACTCAAATTAAATTCTCAACAGCGCATGCGATAAACGAAGTCAATAGAGTTAAAGCGCCCAATGAAGGATATATAATAGTATATACGGGGGAGGGGGGACCGTCATCAAGGGAAGCGACCTCCTAACATTACCATATACTTCGAGTATATACCATATACTCGAATGGCATCATTCGATATTTCGGTAATTCTCAAAATCCATACCATATATCAAGTCATCATGCAAGCAGAGATTTGCAACATACGAATGGTGAGACAAGTCTAGCATCCTTGACATCAAGTCGAGTTGAGGGAATGCCACTCCGTGTAGAGTTGACTGAAGTTAGCTCGGATCTCGCTCGTCATGCAAACTTTTATAGAAGCGTAGCGGTGACGACCTACCCAGGCATTACTTCATTCATTGCAACAAGATGCAGTTGCTGTTGCCCACATTTAGCATAATTTTATTTGAAATTAGGGTAAATTTAAGAACAAGTTGGTAACTTATTTTGCGGTACAGAAATCTGGAAGAATGTCTTAAATTCAGACATATTCAATGATGATTTAACCCATTTTATGCTTAATCCAGGCGGCTCTGTATTTCAGTCAAATAACAAAAATTTATTGAGAGGACAAAAGATTGTTAATGAGAGTATTAAAAATAATACAATGGGCACAAGTTTTTTCATGTTTGCTTCTCAGTAAAAAAATTTATTCTTAACAAGTAGATTAAGATACATTACACATTTCCAGTTAGATGAAACAAGCACAAGCTGCTAAACGAAGGAGCTAGATACTCACATTACTCATGTGAACGGTGACGCCATCCACTAAATATTTCAATTCCTTGTCGATTTGAATGAAAGCTGCAAGAAAAAAATACACAAGTTAGTGCGATTTGTATATACGTGTATAACAACAAAACACGAAAATTACCGTAAAATATTCGAAGCAGTGACTTGGAATGAAAGATGCCAGAGGAAATTACTAGTTAATGCAATGGTACATGAATATGATATGACAAAACAGGGCAATTACTATGAAATATTCAATGCACTTACTTTGATTGAAAGCTGAAAAATGAACAAATTATTAATGCGTGCACTGACTTCGAGAACAAAGACATAATCCCACGTGATTGCCAGTCGAAGAAAGTGTACAATAACCCTTGTTACGTGTGTGACAGACGATACTCAATTGTTGACTCAATAATTGAATAAACCATAACTTATTTACGGTAATTTTATTTTTGCTTGAAATTTAGACTGGACTACATGATACATGGAAATTAAATTAAGTTGCCGACAAAGAATAACTAATAATGAAGGAGATAATAATACGGCCGTATTTTCTCAGAAAAAGTAATGACAGATCGAAGGCCCATGTATCACACAGAGAGATCTTAGAGGGTTTAGCTAACTATAGCAAAATATTTCATGGCCCTATGTAAACATGCTCACATCGTGAACTCTATATTTCTACCGAGTGGTTCGTTACTCAATGATCATTAATACAGACGAACAAAGAGACTGAGCCTTCCGTGAAGAGTCTTTGTAGGACATGAACTATTAAGAAGGAGAGAGCTGAACAAAGACGTGAAGATATATTCATGACGAGCGAAACCTCTAGTCAAGGTCCACTAGCACCTGTCAGGGAAGACGTACATCTTGCATCGGTGTGCCATGATGAATTATTAATGCGACCATGAGCTGCTACTCGTGTACAGCAACATAAACTAATGATTCATACGCATCATCAAACATTTCGAACACGAATGATATTATCATAAATGTTCTAAAAAGAAGAACACCTGCCTGGCCTTCTACGTCGCACCAAACGAAAATTACGAGTAAGCTATCGCTGGCCGACCGTCGGTCGTTCACTGACTGATAAATTTCAACTCTGAAGAATTAGCATGTGTGGCGTTGGGTCATAGTCGTCTAAAATATACTACGCAAATGAAGGTTTACACAAAATTTCTTTAAAAATATATAAAGCGCATGATAGATGTTGCATAGGCGATATTATTTTGCAGATATGGTTATTATCCCAGAGCTGCCTTAAAGCAATTCAATCATCATAGAATGAGCATAAAAGGAACCTATTTGAATTTAAAGCACGAAAACAAATGGAAATAAAAAGTCGGCAAATACTACACGAAAACGATTTGATAAAACATAAAATACAATAATACATCTACTGTATATTGCGCGCCCGACTAAATTGCATTCACAACTGCCTCTCAGAGAAGCAGATTGAATGCAACAATGTTTACCGCGATACTAAAGGAAGCTAAAGCTAAAGGAAGCTCCGTCATTCGAGAAAATAATGTAAAAGATTGCGCGGTGGACATTTCCTTGAAATATGCACGACGGCACAGCTGGACGTGGCAGATGTCCAACTCGACTTCGAAACTGAAACATTCGTTGTGAAATTATGATGAGAATCATCATAATTCAATATTGAAGGTTAATATTTAACAGCGCGTTAACATAGATGCAGTGGATGTCATATTATTGATGCTCTCTAAATTATAGTAACTGAAGAGAAGATAATTGAGTAAAAAGCACGATACGCTTAGGACTACCGGACGCTCATCCGAATACATGTGATAAAGCGGCGGTACGGTGACCTCCCACACACACCCACAGCCACGTAGCAATCCCGGCTTTAGCATGGACCTCGAATTGTCAAAAAACTTCTTACTTGACAACTCGTCATATAGTATTTGGTTAGGAGAAATTTCTGTTGTAGATTCATGCATGTTATTATCACAAACCCAACTCTATAAAATTGCAGTAAAAAATAACTACATACCTAATGCACTGGCAATAACAGTTAATTCGTCGAGATAAAGTAGACGAAATGCGTCAGGACAATAAATTAAAACATTTGATAAATATTAGGTATAGCGGAGCGTAGCTTCCAAAAATTCAATCCAGAGATGGTACCCAGGCACTGACAGAAATGACAAGCTCATACCGACAGTGTTATTTATTATAAAACTGATCTATAACCGAGATCAAGCAACAGCTGAGCTGACTTCAGCTTCCATGCTTCACGAGAGCCAATAAGAAAAATAGGCCAAATGAAAATAAATAAGGAATATAAACAGAGTAAATATCACACTATACTTACTTAGCAAAAAGAATCAAGCAAAAATGCTGCAAGTACTAAAATGAACGGAGCGAAAGAATTTCAACTCTCTCCCTTAAATGGCAAGGGAAAGGGCGTTGAGCCTCCATGAATTATCAACAGCGAAAAGAACATCAGCTCGGACACAAACAAAGCCGCTATACAAGTATACGATATTCTGAAGATTGATTGAAGCTCGAAATAGCACCAATAAGTCCACTGTGTCCAGTCAATTTTCTTCCAAACAACCTAAAACATTTTTTCAATTGAAAAACAAACGGGAATTAAGATGATTTTCATTAGGCATTTTTGTCTTGACAGGAAAACACGAGCAGATAAAAGTTAAAATCGAAAGTTGTCTTGGAAACCAAAACCGTCCGTGATTGTGGAGTGCTATTATCTCATCAGCGTTTCCGCTGGGTTGCATAGGAAGCTCATGTTTTTCTTTAATTAAGAGAATGTCTTCGTTTCGTCTTATTAATCGAATAACACGATTGTGGCACGCATTGCACATTGCCCTAAGCCGAAAATGACACATGCACTAGATGAAGCAGTGGTGAAGCGCTCTGCTATTGCACATCACCATCGACCAGCCATGACGAGTTCATAAGCTGACGCAATAGTGACGTATTCTTCTGTTGCTATTGCATCAGAAATTTCTAGTAGCACTCGTCAATATGCCAGATTTCCCTGTCTTCTTCCATTTCACGATCCTGATGCAAAGAGGAGGTTCGCATAGCAACGATAATTATTTATTATAGACACGAGTTTCATCATCTCGATGTCGCAGTGGAAGTCGCTAAACTAAGAAATTGTTGATGGCATGTTGATTCGCTTATGAATTTACGTTACTGCAGCTACAGCACAAAGATGAGGTCTCTGGTGAACTGCGTGACATGACGCAGACAATGGCTGCACAGAAGGGGTTCAGTGGGGTAGATGCAGGGGCTATACTGCAGCACAGAAGGGGTTCAGTGGGGCAGATGCAGGAGCTATACTGCAGCACAGAAGGGGTTCAGCCGTTCAGTGGGGCAGCTGCAGGGGCTATACTGCTGCACAGAAGGGGTTCAGTGGGGCAGCTGCACGGGGCTCGACTGCTATACAGCTGAGATCGATGTATGTATAGCTTCGTCATAATCGATGAAGTTGACCAAAGGTGGCCGAGCGACTCAGTGGCCGCCACTAGTTTGGCTACAATAAAAAGCCTGATACTAAAACTTCCACACCTGAACCAATAACGAAAAATATGGAAAAAATATTTACTAAAACATTTCCTACTGCTATCAATTTTGCTAGACGGCCAGGTGTACAGTACCGAATATACTGCCACACATTCCCGTCTGTGGTATACTTCGCAGCAAAATCAATACGTGAGTCATAAACGCTAGCATGAGGCAAGTGAAACTGTAGACGAATTGTGGTTAAAAGAGATTCGAATTCATCCTTTGTTTAAGATATTTTAATTCAAGACTAAAGGAGTTTCAACGAGGCCTTTATCTGTGCAAACGATAAATCGCCGTAATTTCGTAGCTTAAACTAAAACAAACGCCAATTCGGCCATCAGGCAGTCAGTCAAATTTAAAAAAATTATAACTATTTTGTATCCGTTAATTTACACTATTCGAACAAAAATTTCGAGAATTTCACGATAAATTTTGTATTCATGGGAGAACCAATTAGGGGATAATTATATTAAGAACTAATAATGATTCCGTGAAGATCTGATAAACAACGATTGAATTTTTTTTGTAACATCTATATATTATTGATAATGGTGTTTGAAACGGGAAAATTAGGTACAACAAACCGAACGATCCCCCCCTCACTGTGATAAAATAACTAAAAACAGCATATATGGGAGTCTTGTAATTTAGACAAACCTCGTTTACTCGGGGACCAGGGACGTCCAAGTTCATAGGTGAAAGCAACGTCGGATAAGTCTGGGGAAGAAGGTCTCCAGACATCAGGTCTCGATCCCGATAGCAGACGATGCGTCCTGACATTTCCAAACGCAGAAAATTGTAGGCGTTGATTAGGGTCGGAAAGATTCTTGGAGCAGTTTTGGTTTCCACTCAATATGTTAGAATTGTGTACATAAGTAAACATACCGGGGTCTGAATGTGCTTCGACTGGGAATAACGATTTTTCATGCGTCAAACCGCTTCTTCCGAAGGACCAAATGTTTGAAGATTCTTCATTGCGATTGCACGCATTAACGAATTTTTGATTCGTTAACGAAGCATCATCTGGACAACTACAAACTTCATGTGGCTGCTGACGCTTGACGCTATCAAGCCTCAAATCAGGTACTGTTTTATAAGTACACAGGTCATAATGAAAAAAGGCCGGGTAGTAACTTATTCCCCCAAAACTCGAATTTAAATTGATCAAGTGGTTCTTTCCAATAGCCACGCTTGTTCGAGTGGGCTGGCTTATGTTTTGATTAGGAGTTCTGCACATTTCTTCAGATGACCGAGTTTGCAAGGTACAACTTCCCGAGTCTAAGTCAACACCAAAATCTGATCTGCATTTCAATGAATCCGTCGACAAAGACTGCATATCGTTCATAGTATCATCTAGAATTTGTGAACGCGTAACATCTGCGCCCTCAGAGGCGAGTTTGCCCGTTTCGTGATCAGAAGAGTGTGACGCGGTTAGCTCTGAATCAGGTTTATCGTCGAGCTCGATATCTGACACCGCTGGAGCTAAACCCCTGCCTGTATGTGCTAGTTCAGGCAGTTCGGGGGACAAAGTAGACCTGTGGTCTGAGTTTGGTCTTACGTTTAGCGGTGAGCCTTGAGGAGGCACATATGCGGGCAGTATAATCATGGAGTCAACGTCGTGTGAGAGAAAAGGTTGGACAACCATTGCCTCAGAGTGGTACAGAGAACTGTCATCAACAAACTTGACAATTAAACTTGAATTTAATCGAGTTGATGAATTCTGATTGTCCTGGTATCGATATGGTTTGGCTAGAAACTTGTGAACGCTCTCGAAATGATAAAATGAGGGCCTGGACTCGATTGGACCTGGACCGTCTCTTACTAACGAGCGATCCTCCAATTCGCCATCATCATGCATTGCCTCTCGATGACTATTGGTAGCACCACGAATGCCGTACCAGGGTGGGCTTTCATTTTCAGTTCTCGGTGGTTGATCTTCAAGCGGATGAGATGTAGACAAATTTTCCCTTTCAGAAACATCAGTTTCTTTGGTAGAGTCGTCAACACGCACGCTGACACTGACATCATCAGGATGATTGTGTTGTTGTCGGCGAAAATGTCGATGATGATCAAGTTGACCGAAAGTACGCGGAGCAGTTAGCTTCTTGTGCTCAAAAGGCTTGACACGCACACTCACAGCCACTGGAATGCTCATCAAATGGCTGTCATTGCTTTGGGTCTCGTAGACATTGTGCGCATATGAACTGAATCTACGAAATGAATAGAAGCGTGGGTTTCCGATGGTTGAGAGCAAAGCGTAACTTTGCAAAGACAACAGCAAAACAACAAACACTCGCATTATGGCCAATTTCAGCGAATAACAGATCACTTTTAAATCGATACTATTGCAGAATAAAGACAGACAATGAACTCGACAAAGCTACTTGGTCGACTGTGGCGTGCACCTTGAGAAGACTTTGACGCGGATAGCCCTGATTGGCTACTGCATGTCATTCAACATTCATATATCCTAGGCTAGCTTCTACACTGAAGTCTGAAGGAGAACTGAAAACAACACTGAAAATTTTATGACGGTTTCGGAAGAGTAAATCAGTCTTCAAAAATTATAAAATGCGACGACACTCGAGAGAAAGAATACTATGACGAGAGTGAGAGCGACACGAGCGAACCTACGGAGTACATAGCGCGATTCAGCGTACTAGTGACATTGCGGTCAAGACAGACTATGCAGCACACGGTGCGCGGAAGAGGTGAGCGTTACTAAGCAGGTCACTACCAACACACGCTCAATACCAAAGTAACGAGACGACTTACTCAAGGCACGACACGCCCAGGCGTTCCAACTCCACGCATGCACTTGCATGAACATCAAGGTAAAGGGCGACCATAAGCTTGATGCCTGTGAAGAATCCGAACATTTTCATGCGCTCTATATTTCAGTACCTATCCAGAATACGTGAACAACAAAGTAGCAGGGCTGAAGCAATGAGTAATTCAAGTAACACTTGCATTTATTTGATTGTAAAAGAGATTTATCTACTGCCGATGCACGTGAAATTCTCCGATCACGACGGCAGTCGCAAAAGTTGCCTAATCCTGATGATCCGCGGAAACGTTTTGACTGTTACGATAGTAATTAACATACAACTGAAAGGAACAATTAGACGCATGGAAAGGTAAAGTATGACAGCTTAAAATGCTAGACCGGTATCATTGAATCATACAAGATATCATTCCAGATCTTGTATGATTTGAGATCCTACATAAACCTTTACCTACTAACAGGAACTAGTTCCCAAGTCTTTAATAGGAATAGCATTGACCACAGTTTATGTATCGGCAGAATAGAAGGTTGAAACCGAGCAAGTTTATTTTGCGTCTCACGCATCCGAAAAAGTGTGAGACATTTGACCTCTAACTAATTTACACAGTTGATATAAGAGATACTGGATGCAGAGACTGAAGAGTTTGCTACGTTTGAAGTAGTCGCGTCAAGGCAAGCCTTGTAACTTTGACTGCTAGCAAAGCCTTAAATGTAACTTTGCAAGCGCGTTAATGGGCACAGTGCGCAAGGTCGCCTAAGCAGCGAAATATGGACGTGCAGAGGAGGCACTGAAGCTCATAGGAGCGCCAGAGAAATGCCCTCACAAACGGCATTCAGTTAAACGCTATCTTGTGCTAATACGATACGTTCAGCAGGGAAATTTTCATACGCTAATGCCTGGACCGTTTGCATGGTAAATGTGTATGACATTAGCATATGAGGCCTTTTCTAAAATGGGATTTTTAAATAAATTATTTGTGGTAGATCGCCAAAATACGCGCAACAATGGTTCTACGCATTCACGGAAATTCAATGCAGAAAATATTATTATAAAATGATTTTATTTATTTGCCAAATGCACGAAGCTTGTCCAGATCAAGGGCCTTGAAGGTAACAGATGTACTCAACAATCAAACTTGACAAACAGTACAGGAAATCACCAGTTATAGAAGCTTGAAATTTTTTAGTTAACCCTTTGTCTACGGATACATCAACCGTTGTCAATGCTTTTCGTAAATGTAAGCGTAAAAATCGTCTAGTCTATTCCATTTAAAAATAGACAAGATAAAATCCATTAATTACTGCATAGATAACAAAAGAAATGTTACATGCGCGCGCATGGAACAGAGCAGACGAAGAACTCTAACTCGTGCGGCGGGCGTCGCTCACATACAGGGCGTGTCCATCCCCACAGCAACACTCAGAAAAAAATAGACCGGGTCACATTGCACAAATAGTGACACACTTCCTTACTCACATCATGAGCAGAGTAAAACCAGCACTCATATACGCCCTTTTGCCCTGCCAAACTTGGTCAGGATGCTCCTCACAAGAGCTAGAAGTGCATCGCTATATGGACCAAATCTCAATCATTTCTACGAGTAAATCAAAAGAACTAACATGAATTGCAGCTTGTGACAGGCGACGTCTATCATCTCCCAGACAGTGACAAGCTTCATCGCTCGTCGCAGCAACAAGGCAGACGAGAGGACAGGCGGGAATTACATGCGCTGAAGTTGTGGGGTATAAATCAAGCAACAGCAACGGTTTAAATCTAAGCAAGAAACTATGTATAAATTACGTGTGAAATGATGCACCTTCTTCCAGACAAATGACGTTGATTAAAGCTTTATTTCCTTTAAACAACTTTCAATAAACGTTACTTAAACGGCAAATGCCTAGTAAGATTTGAGGTATAGAGAGCTTACAGAGAACAGACATATGACAACGAGTACACATGAATAGAATTAGTAGAGCATTAATTTATAACCAGATAATAAAACAATGTCAGAAGTGATAGCATATCCAGCACCATAACAAGAAGATGCAGTAAATGGAGCGGCCAGCGTCAGAGAGTCTGTAGCGACGTAACCTGACGTGCAGATCGATGACTAGCAGCAGCCAGCACTGAAATTATACTCATAAATCAGCGGCTAGAAAATTCTTATGCATTAAACGCAGCAACAATTTGATGACTAATATAAAACTACATAGAAAACTATGATTTCAAATGGATGATATTTATATATTAATACTTTTCCTTGTGGGGCAATAATACAGTAACTATCTTGAGGTCTGAGCAGGAATCAGTTTTGAACTCTTTACGTTAATTTAAATGCCTTTGTGAATAACCTCAACTATCTCACGCACACGCAACCCGCTCGGGATGTTCGCTAATTTGCACAAACGATACACACAAATGAACGGAAGAACGCTGTTTAAAATTAATTGAAATTTCATAATCATAAACTGCCGTCATGAAAAGTAAATTTGTTGATATTATAACAAACCACAAGTTTTATACTAGCTCATCAAGTAGTGTGGTCCAACATCACAACGTAAAATATTAGTGCATCACACATCGTTATCTTCATAAGCTACAACCACTCACAAGTTGTACAAGTCTATCACGTCTAATATATTGAATACCTACCAAGTTAACTACGTAGTAAAATTAATACATATTCGCTCACATTTTTACATCCAAGACTAAGCATATATGGACCCTGAATACCAGCTAAAATAACCATCGATTAGAATGATGAAAACTTGAGCACGATCTGCACAAAAACTTGACCCAGATTGAGAGTACAAAAGAGACTCCCGTGTCGACTTCCATAGCAGCAGATTACGATACCCGAACAGCCAATGAAACGTCCAACGCTACGGTCACTCATGGCTCACAACCGTGCAAATAAACGCGCCCACAACCCTGAATTAGTTTTAATACATGAAACAACTTGCAACATAGTTGAACAAGTGATTGTTGGTATTGATAAGCTTATTTGATTATGCAGCAGCAACACCAGCAACCCCTGCAGCAGCAACACCAGCAGCCCTGCAGCAGCAGCACCAGCAGCCCCTGCAGCAGCAATACCAGCAGCCCTGCAGCAGCAACACCAGCAGGGGGGCGGTGGGGGGCGTTGCATGAATGAGAAGCGTTGGCTGCAGCAGCGCTGCCTCGTATCGATCCTGCGAGCTTGAGTCCTGCCTCACTCCCCTCACCGCGTCCTGCCTCACTCCCCTCACCGCGTCCTGCCTCACTCCCCTCACCGTACTAAAACAAATCTTCATCTCTTTCCATAGAGTTCAACTGTTGTTCGGCCGGCAGACCTCTAGTTATAGAGAAATCATCGCCCGCGGGCGTCAGAATTTCATTCTTAGCCCCATTTAAAATATCCTGACGAAGCATCATGATGAAGGGACAAGTATCATCGGCGCTCAGCACGCACAACCTCATTCAAGTGTTGGAAAATAGAAAAATCATTGCATTGGAAAATCAATATACTTTCGCCGAAATCACCATTATTTAACCTTAGGCTTTCTAATAATGTCCAGGATCGTACCATATAGGCATGCATCACAGTACCAACATTAAAATATCTTTCCACCCTGCATGAGATAATATTTAGAATACCCGAACCACAGAAATGTGACTGAATATTTCAATCATGCAGTAATCGAAATGCACGCGTTTGCAAGTTTTATGCTTCAATATTGTACGTGATGCTAATAAGTGTCATTAGTAAAAGGTAAACGCGAAGGAATAGAGCGGCGTTCGTAAGAGTGCTGGAGCAGTAGTACTGCGTTTGTCACCCCCTAAATGAACACAGCTCCGTCAACCGCTCCAATGAAGGCTTAGTTTCACAGCCTGTTCACCCTAGGCATTAAAAATGCTCTCAACTAAAAGTCTTGGTGTTTTCGGCAAAACCAGATTAATTTTCACTCGTAAATTAAACGTGTATGCGTAGGCACAATATTTGACAATGCGGAATTTGTCACAAGAAAATAAATCCAAGAGTTCATTTATAAAGCGCTATTTAATAATAATATGTTAGTATTTCAGCAATATACGGATGCTTGAACGAGATCAGACGAAAGAATCTAAGCGAATGAAGAAGACCAGCACAGAATCAATGAATACACCATAAATGCCTAGCAGTATAAATCTGGGCATGTTAACCAAAAAGTTAATGCTATCTTGCGAGCAGTTTGAAATTTATTGAAACATCATATTCAATGCCATGTAATTTGATTCATATGAAGCGCTGCTCGACAACCTGTATTGAATGTTTTTTCCACGCGTGAAATCGACCAGTTTTGAGTTGCAGGCATGCCATGCCTCTCTTAGAGGGCAGCAACACAAAGAATGCGATCATAAACGTCGGCCGAGAACTGCAGTGCTAGCCTGGCTGCGTTTGAGGGGCCATGCTGAGCCCTGAGCCTGGACCGGGCGTGGCTACGCCAGCTGTAGTATGCAAATGACAAGGCAGCGTAGCGT